TGGCAGATCCTTTTACTAAGGGTCGATCACGTAATGTGATAGATAATGCATCGAAGGAGATGGGTATGAGACCCACAATATGAGTTGTTCACAGTGGTAACCTAGTCTATGTGATCGGAGATCCCGTGAATTAGATGTAAAACACAAGTTGTTGGTTAACTAAGAGGAGAGTATCCTTAATATTAACAATACCACTCCATGAAGATGCAATACTCTCCTAATCTGCATGGCGGGTTGATGTATATCTTAATGTGTTCTAAGTGACTCATTTTGAAGAACACACCTATATGAGTCTGATTGTTAAACTTCGCAATCTATGAGAGTAGGGTGCTCTCTAGTAAACTCATGAAAGGTCTCGGAGTATGACGCGTAAGCTCCCCCCGCAGGGAAGTCCCGCGGTAGCCTAGTATCGGTTAAGACTTTGTGTGAAGCTAGATTCACAGAAAACTTGCAATTCAAGGTCTAGTCCACTGTTCAAGTTGCTTACTAGTATAGCATAGAGTTCTAGGTGAAAGTTCAACTTAACAGTCTCCACTGCAGTACCAGTATATAAAACAGTGTTTTGGAACCAAAGGCAAATTTTGTGTGCCTCTGGGATCTAGTGGGGGATTGCTGGAATTTAGTCTATTTTGGGACAGCCCAATAACAATTTTAGAAATTCCTAATAAATCCTAGAGGCCCACTTAGCCCATTCGTGCAAGGCAAGGGGTACTACTAAAGTTTAGTCCCACATTGCTAATTTGGTAGGTGTTGGACCTCCTTATAAGGGAGGTTATTTCCCCATATGTATGAGCATGAAAATAAGAGAGACATTCACGCGCGCTCCTCCTCCGCCGCTCGCCTCACCACGCCGCGCCGCGGGTTGCGGGAATGAGCCGAGCCGATGCCTAAATTTTTGCCACTCATGACGGGTATACGAATGGTCACACGAGAGCTGAAACATTTTGCTGTAGTGGAGATTGAATCCAAACTGCGCACCTCTTCGACTGCAATCTGTTCGCTTCGTCTCCCTCTTTTGCTTCACCTCCCATTGCTGCCATCTCGCCTCCTTCTTCTGTGCCTATAAAAGAGAGGTCGCTTCCCCATCCCGGCTTGCAGCGTGCACCACAGGTCGAGACAATAGGCCTCCGAAACCTCACCTCTTTGAGTCCTGTACGAGAGAAGGGTGATAAGGTTTTTGCGGAGCGCTCTGCGCGACTACTGGCCGGCTCATACGGACGCTCTGGACACCGACGACCACTTCCCCAACGACGACTTCTTCCCCGACGTCGACAACCTCTTCGACGACATGGCTGGCAAGGACGTCAACCCCAAGACCAGTGTTTCTGTCGTTGTTCTGTACGTCTTCGTGTTCTCTCTGTTTAAGATCATGCCTTGGTTTCTTGCTCTAGCCTTTCTTGTTTCTAGCCACTGTTCTACATATGTTCTGCTCTAGTTCACATGTACAGATGCTATTTGCCTTCACTCTGCTACATTACATGACTTGTTTCATCTTTACTATAATAGTCATGTTTTATCTATTATTCCTGTTAATAAAATCATATGGTAAATTGCTCATATTTCCAACACTTCCACCCAAATATTTTAATTTTGCTTGGTACACTTAGTTTCCATAGAATTTCCCAGACAAGATTGTTGCTCAAGGGCAAACATCATCATTTTTTACTTGTTGGTAAATTGATGCTCCGATTCAACATAGTATGCAGATGTGGCCTCAAAGGAGTGTGTGTGGGTGTTATGCCAGGCTACAAAATCCGCACCCAACTGTGCATGCAATGGGGTTCTCAGAATTGTTTCAACATCAACCAATCAGAAAATGTTCGGGATAGTATCTTCATCCTACATGCCAGTCATTGGATTAATAAGTTCATCAACTGTTTCTCCGCCCCTTGCTTGTCAAAACTTTCCTAGAAGGACTTCCGGGGAGTGGTTTTCCTAAATGATAATTTGGCTGCCTGATCCAACTCGCCAAATGTGCCCTCTTCTCAAGGTTTGCAAGCCGACAAAAATACTTTGCCATAAATGATGAACCATTCCAGGGACTACAAGATCGTTGCGGGTGTACGGGCACAACCACAAGATCCAGTGATCACCGGTTACGACCAATAAGTGAATGTAATAATTTTTTGAAAACCCCTCAGCTTAACCCAGCAGTAGTTTTTCAAAGGGTAAACCTCTTCAGAAAAAATGTGTACTTAAGATGGTTAGCCCCTTGGCTCTGCAGTCAGATATTGAATAAGATATATTTATATACAGTAGAATGTAAGAAAATGAACAGTTGTGCAGTTCAGCAAAATGAGTAGAGTATCAAGTACTTCCTCGGTTCGCTTTTATAAGATGTTATAGACATTTCTGACAGTGCCTAAAACGTCTTGTAGAAAAGAATGAAGGGGTAGTCAAAATGAGCCAAGGCATCCGGAAAGGAGCATGCAGTGCAGGGACTTTGTCATGTATCAGCCGTTTTCTTCATTGTTCGGGGACCGAACATTCCTGGTGTTCCCGCCAAAAGGATGCAGGGTGGGCGAACTGTCTAGAAGAGAAGGCGTCCGTCGTTCCTAGTCGGGCTAGTCCAGACAAAGGCTACGCACAGTAGTGTTTGTTCTGTCACGCCGGGCCAAGACCGCCCGAAGTTTCTAGCAAGAATCCATACGCCGATGCGCCATGGTCCACCAGACCCCGGCGCCCCAGCATGGGAGATATTTTTGAGATCCCGGACGGAACGGACTCTGCGCGGAGATTTTTTTATGAGTGAATTGCACATACGGTCCTTGTAGTCGCTGGTTTGGTCTAAAACTGTCCTGGAGCTTGCGTGTTGCCTCGTTACGGTCCTGAAACTTGCCAATATGGTCCATCGACGGTCTTCAGGCGGGTCCCGCGTACGTATCATCTACGCGTCCAGCCACGGCAGCACAGGCCGACGCGGGCCGAATCAGTTTTTTGCAATGCGGCCCCTTACTTTGAGAAGAATACAGCTCGCAGTACATCATCTCAGGCTGGACGTACGCTGATTGAAACGACGAACAGGGGCGGCGGCGGTTGGATTTGATCAGAGGCGATCGGCGAGGAGATAGCAACCATTTTGAGAGAAAGTAGGAGGCGATCGGCGACGGTGGCGAGGACATAGCCACCGTGAGTCGCCATCGGTGGCGATGGCTCCCGTCCGGCGGCATGATAGGGGCCCGTGCTCAATTGTGGTATCTCATAGCACCATTTTTTTCAGATGTGTTTTTTAATCCAAGCGGAGGATTCCCATTGGAGTTGCGGGCATTAGATGTTCTACGATCAAAAGTTAGGAGCAAGGTTGTTGTTTCCTTTTCGTGAACAGAAGTGGAGGTTCCATTGCTCCTGGCTTTCCATTGGTACTATCTGATGAAACTGATAGTATACTCAAATATTCTAGCATAAGCATCAAGTTCATGGGCCATTCTGTTACACACCCTCTTGAGTGCACTGATCAAAACCTCCTTAAACTCTTCATTAAACCCTCTCATACTCAACTAGCGGGTATGGAGCAGATTGGTTTACCAAGGAGGGATTCAGAAGTGCTGCCACCTCAGAGCAATCAGTTTCCACGCACAGCCAGCTGATGTACACTTTACTAACTTTCGACAGGCCACAAATTATTGCTATCAACTCTGCTTCTTCAGGGCTATTACATTTTGGCAGGCGTCTGCAAATGGACAGGCCCACTTGGCCTTTTTTATCTCTGAATATTACACCAGCACCCGCCTCTTTGGTGCTCGCAAGAACCATTTGGGTTTTTTCAGAACCATCATATCTGCTGCTTAGTTTGATTACAGCCCATAGCTGATTTGGTTAAGGTTTTCATGTACAATTATGTTGATTTCGAGGCTCTGCACCGTTCTGGTCATCAGTTTAGTTCAACTTGTTACTGATTGTGTTCGGGCTTCGATCAGCATAGGATTTCAGTACGTATGAACTGATAATTTTGATTTTTCTTTGTATGTCAGGACATGAGACTGATCACTTCATTATAGAGTTCGTTCATGGTGGATTTTTCATGGGGACCGGAGGAAATAGATCATATGTTAATGGCAGAAAAGTTTGCTATGATTACTGCGAAGCTAACATAATATGCATGGCCATGTTTGATGATTTAATTGAGACACTGGGTTATGAAAGAAAGGGAAGAATTAGCACATACTTATTGCTGCCGGGTATGCAAATCAATGAAGATGGTCTTCGGTTGTTATCAAAGGACAGCGACACAGCGTGCATCAAGGCAATGGTTAGAGAGGGACACAGATTTCTCATGTTTTATCTTGGGCATGAGAATAACATTACCGCAGAAACATGGCATAATGTTACTGCAAACCCCACCACTCAATTGCCTGATGTTATCAATCCTACGGAGTGCAGTAGAGACCAGGAGCATGAGAGTGTTTTGGACCACTACCTAGTTGAAGCTATGTTTATTTTGTCACATGTGCTCATGACCATGAACTGATCATGTACTGTTCATGATCATTCTGTCTTTGGATATGCCATATGTCGTGCCGTCAGATTAGTATATGTTGTTTGTTTCCTGTCATATATTGCCCAAATTATGTGATATGTTGTTTGTGTTTCCTGAGATTTGCAAATATCCTGTGATCTATTGCCTACTTTCTGAATATTGCAAGTTCATGTGTAAATCCTGTAGAAAATGCAAAGCAGTGACCAAATGGTTGAGCACATGACCATACCTTGTACAGATTGCACATCACCCATGCCCTGTACAGGTTGCACATCACATGACCAAATGTGCCTGGCACATTACAAGATCATATCATGTAGAAAATGGTAAGCAAATGACCAAATGGTACCAATCTGACCAAATGCTAATAATCTCACCAAATGGCACAGCTCAAACATCATATATCAAATAGGAATTTTTTGTTCAGGCTACAAAACTCATCACAATCATAGCACAGATCACAACACAGTACGTACTATGCAATTACCAAAAGATCACAGACAGCCCAGATCATCTGGCTTAACTAACATATTTCACTGCATTTTGTCCACTGAAATTCAGAACAGTACACTGCATCTTGTGCAGACAGTGCCTCCCCGCAGCTGGTCCAGACTTCCGGACGGCGTCTGACAGCAGCGACGCACGGACGTATATCGTGCCGGAATCCTGCAGCAGCATCTTGCGCCGCCGCCGACAGCCGCACCACCTGCGGCTCCATTGTCGCCGTCCGCAGGGGCTCGAAAGACAGTGTCCTTCGGCCCAGCGCCGGCGCTGCCCCCTTCTCCGTCCTCCCGCGCAGCCGCGGAGCACTAGCACGGTTTCCACTCCGCCTCCACATTGTAGTCCGCCGCCTTGTACACCACGCGGAGCAGCCCTGCCGCCGGCCGCTGCGCGTATGACCCACGCAGAGCACCCCGCCACCGCCGCTGTTCGACATCCTGCACTCGCCGGCCCTGCCACCGGGCGCCATGCCCATGGCCGCTGCCTTCTCCAGCGAACGCCTGTGGTTCCCAACCGCCGCCGCCACGCATGGTTCTCTACAGTTAGGGATTGGAGAAAGAATTGGGGATCGAACAGAGGAAGTTTCCGCTTCTCAAGCTCAACTATAGAGAAAACGATGCGGCCCGCGAGGCCGTGACAGCCTGCGTCGGCCCGCGTTGACGTGGCTTGAGGCGTAGACGCGTACGTACGTGGGGCCCGCCCCAGGACCGTCGATGGACCATCTTCGCAAGTACCAGGATCGTAGCGAGGCAACCCGCGAGCTCGAGGACCGTTCTGGACCAAACCGACGAGTATGGGGACTGTACGTGCAATTCACTCTTTTTTTATGGTACCACACACCTTCTCATCAGAAAGAAAAAAATTGCGGAGACGGCACGGAAGAGGGAGAATGGAACAACCGGGCAAAAAGGCAGCGCACGTTGCCTTACCTGACCCGCAGCGACTGGACAGCACGTCGCCATCTCCGCCCCATCCGTTGCCGAGAGCGAACAAAAAACGGGCGCATTCCGCGCGCGCCTTCTAGCAAGTTCTCTGGTGACGTTCACACGGGGTTGGTTTGGTTACGTGCCCCGCCAGACCAGACCAAACCGACCCAAACCAAAACCAAACCCGAGTTTTTTTTGTTAGGGCCTCTTTGATTCGCATGATTGTAAAAACATGGAAATAGGAAAAACATAGGATTAAAATGTCATGCTCATTCCAATCCTATAGGAGTTTAGGTTGTTTGATTGCATCATAGTAAAACGAAGGATTCTTTCAAAGAGGTTTGATTGGATGCTAGAAATCCTATGGGAAGTAGTACAAAAAATTCCTTAGGAAAAAATCCTATAGAATTCAATCCTATGAATCAAACAACCAATATAGGAAAAATTCCTAAGGATTCTAATCCTCCAAAATTCCTATGCAAATCCTTTGAATCAAAGGAACCCTTATTCTTTTTCGAGTTGGAACCAAGCCCCTGAGTCGCACACCGCACGTGTACCATTCACATTGACCCGTCTGAACATAACTACGTAGCACTTATAACCATATATCTGGCCGCCAAACCCCGCTACCGTCTACAGCTATCGCCCACGCAGCTGACTAAAATACCACTTATGAAAGTTATCAAAAAATAATAATAATACCACAAGCAAATCGTAGTTACTCTTCCTCTTCTACTACTACTGTCTCCCGCACAAGCAGAAGGAGCTATTTACATACAGCATATGAAATGGCCGATCAACCTACCGGGAATGCACCTTTTCATTTCTACAGTCCGCTCTACCACGACAAATTACACAACACATATTATAGATCAAATGAAACAGGAACATCACAATTACATGGGTAGAGGGGGCAGCCGAGCTCCCCAGCTAGCAAAGTAATGCAAGATCCTATCACGACTCTAGTGATGCTTACAGTATTATTATTTGATGGTGATTAATAATTAGTAGGTGCTCGAAGCTTCTACAACATCGTCCACTCACCTCGAGTTGGATCTGTCCTGGTCTGACCCGGAACCGGCCCCGGCCCCGTCCTGCCCGTTGCAGGCCCGGTACACGGGCTTGGGCCGGTATATCGGCCACGACTGCCGATCCTCGCTGCCGCCGTCGGGCCGCCGGTTCGCTGCCTCCTCCGGCTTCACGTCCGCGCCGTCGCCGTTGCTGTTAGGAAGCTCCTCGCCCTCGCCGTCTTCTTCTTCGTCTCGCGCTCGCTTGAGCCCTATGGAGACGCCAAACAGCCTCGCGTCCGTCTCCGGCCCGCCGTCGACGGCGAGGCCGGCGGCCGTGGCCAGCGCCGAGCACGATGGCATCAGGTCCAGTATCCCCGCGGGGAGCGGCGGCGGAGGGGCCAGGGCCGACTCGCCCGAGCAGTTCACCACGGACGACAGCGACCCGGGGCCGCCGTCCGGCTGCTGGCTCGAGGCGAACTTGGACATGAGGCTCACGATGTTGTTGCACAGCTTCTTCATCTGTCCCAGCTCGCGGGTCAACCGCGCGTTATCCCGCCGCAGCCGGTCGTTCTCCTCGCCCATATCACCGGACGAGGAGCCGGCGGCGGCGCCGCCCAGGCCGGAGCCTGAGCCGGACGGTGCGGCCGGCGGGAGCTCCTCCGCGGATCCTGAGTTGGACGACAGGACCTGCTCCTCGGAGGAGAGCTGCGGCCCCGGCGAGCCGGAGCGCGTAACCGGCAACGCCATCGGGATCGCCGCGGTGGCAACCGTCACCGCCCCAGCCGCGGCGGCGGCAGCGGCAGCCGCAAGCCCCGCTGATTGGACCACCTTCCGGCGGTGTATGTCGCAGAGCAGGCGCTTCTCGCCTCGCCGGAAGCAGTCGTTGGCGAACTCCCACCGGTCCGGCACGATCTTCCTAAATCCCTATACGCCACAGCAAGCAAAATTAGAGGATCAACAACATGGGCATTCCACGCCAAAAATCCAGAAAGGCCAAATCCCAACCCCGAGCCCGAGGAATCAACCAACCGAACCCATCGAGCGCACGTACGTAGGTGTTGAGCTGCCGCACGAAGCTAGAGAAGTTGTTGTGCTTGAAGTACTTGGGGAGCAGGTCCCGGGCGAACTCCGCCGGCCGCCACACCACGAACGTCGACCCGTCCTCGCCCCACGAGATCACGTCGTCCACCGCCGGGTCCTCGACGAGCTGGTACGTCTTGGTCAGGAACGGCGTCGGCAGCGACCTCTGCCCCGCCGCGTCCGCCGACGCCACCAGCCCCGGCATAGGCGCCGGGGGAGGAGGCTCCGCCCCAGCCCTGTCCGCTGCCGCCGCCGCAGCGCCATGCTCGGCCGCCATCACGCCGGCGCCTCCTCTACCCCTCCCGGCCGGATCTGGCCCGGGGAACCCCGTAGTAGCTTCCAGATGCGGTTGAGGCCACCTCACCAAGGAAAGGAACGTACGGAAGAAGCCTTCTGGAAGCTTCGCCCGCGGGATTACGAGACTTATACCCAACGGGAGGAGGAGAACGGCGATAAAAATAAGAGAAATGATAAAATGGAGAGAAAGGCGAGGGGCAAAAGAAAACGCACTTTGATAAAAATAAATTTTCTCGACCGCGACACGACGCACACCACTCGTACCGAGAAAGCCGCGGCGGGGTGGACCCGGCCCGCATGGATATCTTCCGCCGCGCGGCCGCATCCGGCCGTTGGATGGGCATCTGGTGGCGGCAGCGGACGGCCCGGATGCCATTCGGGCGAGATTTGGTTCTATACGGGGTGGCCCGCGGCATGGGTGCGGTGGGGCCGGGGTGTTAGGAAAGAGCGAGAAACTTCGATGGCTTGTCGCCCTTCCGTTTTCTGGAAGGTTCAGGTCCGCGCGGGCTTGCGCCAGGCTGGACGGGAGCACGTGTCGACCATCCCGCCGGCGGTATGGATAAGATTTTGTTTTGCGAGGGGGACCTGGATTTATGCGTCGGATGCTTGGTATTTTTGCATTTTTTTGGTCACCCTACTACTGTATTCCAAGAAGGTTCTCTAAGCTTCGATATAAATTGATTTTTGTGCTTTTTTGGCAGCCTACCATTCGAAGAACGTTCTCTGATCTTCTGATATTTGTACTTGGTATTTGTGCTATTTTTGTCAGTCCACTATTCAAAAGCTCTACTCCCTTCCTTCCTGAATACAATACTCCTTTTAAAGATTCCAATGCGGACTATGCAAGATGGGTGAATCTATACTCTAAAATATCTATATACTTCTTCCGTCTGGAAATACTTGTCGAAGAAATGGATAAAAATAAATGTATCTACAACTAAAATACATCTAGATACATTCATTTCTCCGACAAGTATTTTTGGACGGAGAGAGTACATTCATATGTAGTTTTTATTAGTAGAATCTCTAAAAAAAGACTTGGAGCCAAAGGGGAGGTTAAGAGAGACCAACGGCCCAAATCTCTTTTATACTCTTACCTCTCATGTGAAAAGGGAATGTATACCCATAAAACATCACACTTATATTTTGGAACAAAGGGAATACATTCTTTCGTGGGTATTTTATGTGTGTAAAATTTGTCCATCCCATTAGTAGGACTTGTACAAGACATTTTGATAACTATACTGCATATCTCTTCATGTTTATGTGCCACACCATTTTGGAGGTTGGATGAATAACAGGATACTTATGTTCTTACCAATTGTAATGTCCCCCTTTGATTTGGCTTTATCTCGTCACTTAGTATTCCCATGTATTGCTCCTTTTTCTTCCCTTCTATGGTCCTTTTTTCATGAAAAAATTAAATGAATGGAATTTCAATCTTTTGCATTTACTCCCTCCGTCCGGGTTTATTAGGCCTAAATACAACATCTCTTAGACCAAGACACATAGTAATTTGCTCACATTAATTCTTCTATTCCACTCCCAATGCACTCTCTCACATGCATGCAGCCAATGAAAAAGCATGCATGAAGTGTATTAATTGCCTAGCCATGGCACCAACAACAATGACTTTCAATGTAACCAATGAAATGGTTGCATGCATGCATCTTTCCAAAGCGAGGCCTTATAAAAAAGGACATGCTTGTGATGCTAAGAGGCCTAATAAACCCGGACGGAGGGAGTATTAGTCATTAGTGATCAAATAATAGTGATTATCTTGAAATATCTAGGAATCTTCGGTTTAAACAACGGTGGAATCTCTACTTACTTAAAAGTTAAAACATACGTAAAGTTCCTGTTCCTGCCAAGCAGAACTCTTCATCAACCAGTTCCCCCCTCCCACCATGTCCCTTCGCCGGTTATCTTTGCTCAACCTGTACTTTTGTCCCACCATGGTTATTTGATTGCAACTTCGCGCACCCCACTCAATCACATTAATTAACTTACCATTGCATCAATTCCACCTCAATTAACTTACCTTTTGCATCAATCGCGCATATCATGTAATTTACTTATCTTATGCATCAATTTCATAATTTACGTAACATGCGTGACATATACTACAACTTTTTTTATTTTGGTAAGTCTAGATTATTTTCTGTACATATTTGATTGTGTATATCGGCTCACATGCGCGCTGGGATTCAGAGATCATGCCTGAATAGGCTTAGAAGGCATGGATTTTGGAAAGTTTGGATTCTGTGAAAACCCAATTCATATATCTCCTTTTCTCTCTAACTTGGTCGAAGAAGACAGGCTGCTGGCGGCCTCACCAGTGTATTTTCATCTACTGTTGTTGTATTAAAAATTATTTGGCCCCCGTAATAACGCACGAGTAATTACCTAGTGAGTGTAAAAAAATACACTCATCAACCTCCCAAACTTAATACTCCAAATAAAAAAATACACTCATCAATATCAATTCCTAAGACACCAGTTAAAATTGATAAGTGATAATGGTAATTGATTCACACCAATTATACATAGATGGACGGAGGTGGAAATCTGGGTGATGGTGTTTGTAAGTGCATGTAGTGCCCCTTAGTGATTTGGTGTATTGAAGACTTATAGGTTAAGGGATTAATATGTTTGTGAGTGTACACAAGCTCTATAAGTCAATGAGGAGTTTGACATTTACAGTGAAAGTCGACCCCTAAAAATGAATGTCTTCGGCTAAAGACTTTGGTTCTCCTGAAGACTTTGAAAGTGAAGAAATTGGTGTGACCTTGAAGATTCGATATTCATGCGAGGAATCTGGAGCGTGAAGACTTTTGTTTTCGTAGTTTCATTTTCTTCTTCTTGAGTCATAGGAAACACCGTACTGTTAAAGAGGGTCGAGGTAATACTAAGGAAACATATTTCCAAGTGATGCTCATCTCAAAATCCTACACCTACTCAATTCTTCGAGTGAAGCCATTGGAAATCCCATATCAGTTCAGTCAATTTCTTCAGTGATAGAGACGAAGATCTTCTGGTCTCTGAGGAATTTGTTCTAACTAAGGAGTTAGGAATTCACCAGTGCGGATTGCCTACACAGTGAGAACATGATAGCCCTGAGGAATTCGAACCTCAAAATATCCGATCGTTGCTAAGCGGCGCGCTAGCCGTTCCAAAATATCTACCACCTAACGGTCATATCATTGAAGGGCATTTATGTCTTATCATGTCGGGCTGCTTCCTAGGCTATAAATAGCCGCCCCCTACAACCACTAGATGGTTGGCTGCTCCGAGAAAAACTGACACTTGTCATTTGAGAGCATCCCATCCTCCGAGGACTTTGAGCGAAAATTATCAAGTGAGGAAAACCCAAATCCCAAACCCAAACCTACAAACCCCAAAGTGATTGAGCATCACTGAAGAGATTGTTCATGTGTGGAACCGACGCTTGTTACCTTTGAGGACTGTGTATCCTCTAGACGGTTAGGCGTCATGGTCTGAGCATCCAAGAGGAATTGTGGATTGCCGAGTGACCTAGTCTGTGAAGGTTTGGAAGTCATCTGTGAAGACTTACCACTACTGTTGGGCAAGATTTGTTTGATCTTAGCTCAAGGAGAATACGATGAGTATTGTGTGTCCGGGACTGTGTCTCCTCGAGTTTAAATACTCAGCCGCTCAAACCAGACGTACAACTGTCACAGTAGTTGGAACTGGTCGAACAAATCATCATCTTCACCAAGCCAACTGGTTCTATTTCCTCAACCCTTTCATTTTCTCAGTTATGTGTTGATGTACCTGATCATTACTGCTTGAACACATTGTCTGAAGACTTTCTCTATTTCCTCAAACCTAATTCTTCAGTCTATTTGTCTTCATCCTACTTATCATGTGTTTACGCTTTTCTGTACTCAGTGCTTGTCCTTCATTTCATCATGATGACTATGTTGTTACTCTGTTTTGCTTATTCCTGAGTATTTATTCCGCTGCAAGTAGTTCTTCGATTAGGAACCTCACCCTGAAATTCCCAGTGAAGATTTCTTATAAATCGCCTATTCACCACCCTCTAGTCGATGTAACGCACTTTCAATTGGTATCAGAGCAAGGTACTCCCTTGTTCTGTGTGATTTTGGTTTAACCGCCTGGAGTTTTAATTATGTCGACTGCAGGTATGAGCAAGGTCTCGGCTGGGTGTCCTACCTTTGACGGGACGTACTACCCCTACTAGAAGAACAAGATGCGTATGCATCTTGAGGCAATTGATAACGATCTCTGGTACGTTGTGGAAAATGGCGTTCCCCCAGTCTCTCCGTCTCTCAATGCTACCGATGTGAAGAGATTCAAACAACTCGATTCTCAAGCGAAGAATATCATATGTGGCCATCTGAGCAAAGGTCAGTACAGCAGAGTGAGTGCATTGGAAACTGCCAAGCTGATTTGGGACAGGCTGTCCAAGGTCAACGAAGGAGTCTCAACTCAACGTGACTCCCGAGTTGATGTTCTTCGCAATCTCTTCAACCGCTTCAAAAGACTCGACAATATTTAGCAAACCTTCAATCGCCTCACTGACATCTCAAATGAGCTTCAAGCACTTGGTGCCACTGATATCACCGATCATGAGGTGGTGAAGAAATTTCTGAGATCACTTGACACCTCATTTGATACCCTCGCACTGATGGTTCAAGAACGAGCTGATTACAAGTCACTTGACCCCGCTGATATCCTCGAGAGGCTAAATACTCATGAGTTCCAGCTTGCTGAAAAGAGAGATATCTATGGATCGAGCTACGGAAGATCACGTGCACTGAAGGCCAAGGCAGTATCTGAGTCCGAAGCTAAGGATATTGGTAGCAGCCTTGGTGATCCTGAAGAACTGAGCAAGGAGCTAGCAATGCTCGTGAGGAAATTCCAGAAGTTCTCTCGCCGTGGCCGCTTTGGAAAGTCTTCAAGAAATGATGATTCCTCATCCCGTGACTACAAGAA